ACCACAAATTGTATTTATGTTCATGTGGATATATTACTTGCCTGTTATATATTGTAAATAGCAAGGTTTATTCTCCTGTGGTTAAAAAAAAAAATTATAAATAACTAAATAGTAGCGAGGCACATGTGTTAAATGTATAGGCAATGTATAAAATATACTAACACTCTGAAATCAGGAGAACTTGTCTTCTTGGCCTTTTGACCTAGGGTGGTAAAACAAATGTGGGTTATTTTTCTTCTCCCCCCTACACCCTGTTGTGGGTGTGCTTTGGGTGGGGGGATCTTTTGTTCCAGAGTTTCCCAATGTTTGCCTTATTGTCAAAGAAGGAATGGGGGGAAAAGCCTCGTTCCGGAAAAATCCAGTGGAGCTTAAGTAGGAGCTGGGAGAGAAGATACCAAACCATCTCAAAAGCCTTTGGAGTGCTTGGCCTGGGTTTTCAATGGTGTGAGATGTGTTGGAGYTGAAATAACATATGGAGTGCGAGTGCTACTCCATCCTCAAGTCTGGAAAACCCTAAATAAGAGACTGGGAACTTCTGTATAYAGCATTGGGAAGTGTCCTGTAAAACYTTCTTGTCACAGCTGGATTATACTGGATTTTTCCAGAGAGGCCGCTTCTACTACCACACCATTGGAACTCCAGTGCAATTCAATGAAATTGCTCATTTTTGTAAAACTACTTCAGCAGTGGGTTTGGGTCCCTGAATCTTTTCATAGTGTCATTTCCTATATATAAATATATAAAAGTGCAAAGCAACTTTCCCCCTTTTTCTTATCCCCAGAAAAMCAGAATTTTGCTCAGATGTAACTGGAGAAGGACAGATGGGTGGAGGGGAGATCTCTGGTTCCTGACCCCCTATCACCCCCTGTCCCCCCAAAAATGTCAAAGTGTTGGTTCTCCTAAGMTGATCCAGCCTGATCAGTTTTGGGGTGGGGGGGGTGCAACCATTATTTATATAACTTTTTTATTAATTTTTTTTAAAAAGAGACGTTAGCTGATGGAAGAATATTTTTATTGAATAGTGCATTTTAGTGATGTCAGAAATATAAAAAATATATAATATTTTTGTAAACAAGGCAAACTGAAAACGTTTGCTGTTTTATATTAGAATTTTCTATTAAAAGAAATAAAAACCCACAGAAATAATTGTTGCACCCATCATCTGTTTTTTTAACAAGCTTCTATTCTGTGTGACTGACTCATTTTATGCCGGATGTGGAGAAATGCAAAACAAGTCCTAAACATTACGTTCTCCTTGTCTTCCAGTTGTCAGAAACTCCGGGTGAAACAAGCAGTGTTTAGTCAAAAGGGGATTTTAAATTATCCTCATTATTGACACTAAAATTGAGTTCTGAAGGATAAGTAGCTTGAAATGGAAATATAAAAAAATCTACCCCCAAATCTCAAATTTACCCTTTCTTTAGTTGAATGTCCTGATTTTGAGATGGGTCTGGATGGAGGAAATCCCAAATCGTTCTGCAGTAACCAGGGATTTGCCCTTGAGCTCAGTTGGTCTGGGAAGAACAATTCTTAAAAAAGTGGTTGGGGAAAATAAAATCATAATCTGGGAAGGATAAATCAAGAGGACCAAATTCCAGGCTTGATCCAACACAAGTGACTTTTATCTCTTTGAATGGGGCAGTGTAAAATTGGGGAGCTAGACATTTGATGTGCCAGGATTCAGGAAGCCCATCCTTCACCTTGGGAATCAGGAAATGAGTAATGGACCCGCTGTTTTCTAAATAACTTTTGGGATTACTGGTTTGGAGACCTGAGCAGGGGCTGAAATAATTTCTGAGGAGTTTTTGTTGTCAGCCAGCKCATTGGCATCTGCCTTCCTTCAGCCCAGGTCTGGAATTCCTTTGTCTGTCATTTTTCAGCTGCCCTGTTTTAGGGAACTTACAGTCGGGTTCTTTGGCTGGGGTAGGCTTGGATGAGACCCCAGATGAAGGGACAGATTTCTCAAGGGTACTTTCATGGAGTAGATGCTGCTTAAGGTGATTTTCTGGTGGATTATGGTGCCTGTGAAAAATTCCTCAGTTGATGCTGCAGTAAAATCCGGTCTGTTCTGTTCCCGATGGAACAGGTGCAGTAAAGCTCCTCATTCCCGGTTTAGCCAGCTCTGCTGGCACATCTGTTGGATTGGGTCTGGCTTCTGTGGTCAGCTCATCCTGATTTCAGTTTTTAGGATGCTAATTAGGTGATGACTTTTAGAAAGTGACCTTTTCCCACAAGAAATACAAGATGTGGCCTTTCTGGAGCATATTGCTCAGTATGGCCAAGGATCAGAATTGTGGAATGGTTTGGGTTGGATGCCAACTTAAAGATCATCTCATTCCAACCTCCTGGTTGAATCTGCTCAACCCTCTAAAACCCGGTCATGGATATCATCCTTGAATAGCTTTTAGACCATTTTTTCACCGATTAATGTTGGATGTGACCAAATTATTTATTAGTTTCATAAACAGAATATTTCTGAACAAAGCAGACAGAAAAAACCCAAAACAATAAGGGAATCTCAAGGCTTTGTGGGTGGAGGGGAAAAGAAAATGGATTTGGCAGCAGAGTTTAGCTCAGACATCGTGGTGTGTTTCCTGTAACTGCAATTCCTCAGGCGCAGGGAGTGGGATGTGAGACCATAAATGATTCAGACTCATCAAATTCACATGTCAGGGGAAACATCTGAATATTTTCCTTTTTCTCAGTCATTGCTGACTGGTTTCAGAAATGGGAAAAATCCTTCTTGGCAGCATTGGGCGAGGTGACCCAGAAGGACAGGAGATTCCTCCCCTCGGGAATGTCGGGAAAGTTGTTGGCATTGATTTGCAGCGGATCTGGGATCATCCCCCGCTTAGGGAAGGAGCTCCTGCAGTCACTGGAGGCACCTCTGGAAGGTGTTTGGCCCAGCTGGAGGTGCCACTTTTCCCTGCTGACAACAGAAGGGGATAAAAGCACCTGGTGGTGTTGGTAGAGGTGGGAATGAATTCAGGAAAATCAAGATATGTGTGGATAATCCTTCCAGCTCCCCTTGGGCTTGGACCCATCTGGAACACCCAGCACCAAACCAGACCAGGAATTTCCCTTGGACCACCCCATCTTTGACAATCTGAAGCAGGAATGTAAAGTCTAGGATTTGTTTTGCACACCTGGGATGGCATTTCCTTTTAAAGGGAGGTGGGAATACTAACATGAAGGATTAGTATTTTTCTCGTTTTTCTTTTTGTTTTGTTTTGTTTATTTTCCAATGTCTTATGGGAGCCTAAGTTATTTTTCTCTACCTCATATGTACAGCTTGTAGGTATAAATCTGATTCTGAGTGACTGTTGAGAATGTATTTAAGTTATTTAACATCTTTGTATAACAAAAAAAAGAAAAAAAAAGAAAAAACCAGAACAAATGAAACAATAAATGTATTTTAAATTATACGTGAAGTGTGCTTCTCTTTCTTCACATCTGTTGGAAAGGTGTGTGGGAGATCCTTCCTTCAGCCTTCTTCCTGAACATAAGCCTGGCCTTGGGGCTAATTCAAGCCTCAAAAGTGGTGCCATGAGCTGCAGAAATGCCTCTCCATCCATTTTAGGTGTGTTAAAAGTGCCTAGGAGGCTGAAGAGTGCCATCAGCTCCCCGTGGATTCCATGGTCATCATGCTTTGCTGGAGAAGTCAGGATACCTTGGCAGAATGTGATTCCAAAATTACTGGCTGGACCTCAGAATGGTCCTCAGAAAGGTTGGATGTGGCCAAATTTATTCTGGGTGAATGGAAAAAAATTTTTGAAAACCTGTTGTTATCCCAGGGTATGCATTGTCCTGCTTGATCAAATGTCCTTTTCTTCACAATGGGCCCCTGGAGCTTTTTAGGACCTGAAAGTCATTGCAGCTGAGCTTTAAATAACCAGAGGGGGAAGGGACCCACAAGGATTATCCAGTCCAACTCCTGTCCCTGCCCAGACCCCCCAGAAATCCCCCCCTGTGCATCCCTGTCCAAATGCTCCTGGAGCTCTGGCAGCCTTGGGAATGTCACCATTGCCTGGGGAGCCTGGGTAGTGCCCAGCATCCTCTGGGGGAAGAGCCTTTCCCTGAAATCCAACCCAAACCTTGGAACAAGACGATCTTTAAGGTCCCCACCAACCCAGACCATTGTWTGATTCTATTACTATGAAAATTCTGATTTGTGTTTCCAAAAGTTTTCCCAAATCCCATTTGGTTTTCCAGTCCTTCCCACGCACACAAAATTCTTGCATTTATTAATTTATTTTACCTTCCAGTCTCATTTCCTGCYATGGGAAGAGCCCCCAGGCTTTTAATCAGCCCTTTCAGAGGTGGTTCCTTTGCACAGAATCTGAACTTTTCATCCTCCAACAGAAAAGCTGGATCTTTATCCAGGATGCTGCTGGAGTTGGAATAGCATCCCRCTGTTGTTCTCCTCACAGATTATTACCCACCCAGGGAAATGTTCACTAAATCAGTGACAGCTCTGCCCAGCCCATGCTCCTCCTGCTTTTGCTTTT